CAAACAAAAAAATTTCCATGTTAGATGATTGTTAGAAATTTAACGAGTGTTTTATGTGTTTATAATAGGAGAATGTTGCATTTGGTTAGTTCACTGGAGGAATTAATTTGTTAGCATCGGGAAAGTGAAAACATACAAAGGCATAAATAACCATGACGACGACACAAAGTAATTGGACAAACGATGAACATGAAAAATAAACAATTTCAACATTTCAACTGCAATTAAACATTCATTTGACTGCACACTATTTTTCATTTTGAATCATCTCACAATCAGAGTAACACTACAAATATGTATAATAAAGTGAAATCGCCCAAATTTCATCTAATTATGTGAGCATATGTCAGTTGCACATTCGAGACAGCACCGACAAATTTATATTCGAACTTACGTCATTTCGACTTCAGTGTTGCCGAACTGTTCGCCAGTGTCCATGGTAAGTGCGCCAGCGCCAAGACCGAAACCTACTCCTTTCGGACCGTACTTCCTACCATAACACTGTCTACAGTAGAGTTCAACTTGATGCTCACAACAGCTTGTCGAATCCAGCAATTTGTTACACATTGCTGCAAATTCATGAGAAGCATGCAAACAAACGTTTTGCTGCAATTAGTGAACGTGGACGAAAGCTGCTGCTACTCGACTAACTCTATAAACAGTTTTTTTTTTCGAAGTGCCATTTTGAATTTTTCGGTCACTGAAAGAATTTTCCACCCAATACGAAAAAAAAACAACAATAATTTATTACAACGAAACGATAGCTGCGGCTTGATGATGGAAATATTAAAGACTCCAGAGAATATAAGCAGGCATCTTATTTTTAAGATTTCGGCGATTCAATTAAGTGACTGACGTTCGATAAAGCATAAAAAAGCAGTTCTTAAAACGGCTTAAGTAAACTGGAATTAGGGATGCGTTAAGCCGGAAATTCGGAAGTTAGAAGTCATGAACGAAGACGACAATCAAACAATAAGATGACGTGTAGTAGGCTTGAAAAAGTGTGCTTTCAGTTTGATATGTAATGAGTCTGAGAATACGATTAAACGCATGCGCACTACAGCAATAAAGCTTGACAACACAAGCAAGAACAAATGGAATAAGCTGCAATCGGGCTTCGCTTCGGTTTAGTTTTGCTGTTTGTTTCAGAGATGATTTCATCGCTACGAACCAACAAATGTTATGAACATCAGCAAATAAGCATTATCCGTTTACACCCATTTTTTTAATGATTCAACTCACTCAATTGTTAGCTAGTATAAGACGGCACAACACGTAATGATTAGAGTTTGCGATAAAAATGCCAAACTTACCGCATTTGAAGCAAAACTTGTGGTATTTATAGCCACCGGCTACCATTTCCTCGGCTGCGTACACAGATTTACCGCATTTTGGGCATTTCGGGTGTTCAACTGGCTTGAAAGGCATTTTGATCAATTCAGTAACTAGATAATTAATATATGAGACAATTATGGTGTCTCTTCGGTGCGTTCTCTTGCTCCCTCAATTTACCTCCTCGGAGACAGTGCGTGCAAGTATACCTGAAGAGAAATAAGCGTTTCTTTTCGACGACATCAGACTCTAGATGAACGATAAACGCGGACAATGAAGTCAATATGAGAGCTCGTACAAATNTTTCTTTTCGACGACATCAGACTGTAGATGAACGATAAACGCGGACAATGAAGTCAATATGAGAGCTCGTACAAATGAAAATGCTTTCCATTAAGTTGTACAGAGAAATGCAAACAAAAAACTGGTTTGTTGTACACAGTACACTGCTGACAACTAAGTGCATTGTGTGCATCAATCAGTAGGAGATCGTTGTAAGAAAACTGTAATTGTAAAAGATAGCTTTCGTATATTGATAGATCCACCGTGAAGCTAACATTTTTGATTTTAAAACAGTTCACACACAAAATGCCATGAACCGCAACTTTAGAATCAATAGAATTTCATTCAACGTCGACATAACGCTAGACATTTATGTTACCAGTATATTTTTGTTGCTGAGATGTTTCGAAGATGTGAGGATCTTATTGGTTATCGGCAAATGCGATTTGTTGGGAAATTGTTTCGACGCTTAAAGGGTTGAAGATTTAAAACAAAATACGTACACAGAATAAATCGTGAACGAAAGCTTTTTCTAATCTCATAACGAACAGCTAATCACTTAAACACAGAAAGCAATGGTCGGGTGCTGCGAGGAAAATCAAAATATATCTGGCAAAGAATCATAACAACTGCTACCGAGAGAATATCAACTTCGAAAACAAAAACAATATTGATGATATCAGTGAAAGCAGCAACAATAGCTCAAACACTAGCAATCATAATAACAGCAATAGCTGTGAGAATAATAACAATTAAATGAACATTTTCTTCCGCCTTTCGACTTTCCCAGTCGGGGGTTGGTTGCCACGATGGAATGTTTTCTTTCAATACGCGTATCATTTTGGTGATCAACAAAATTCGGCTTGTTCAGATCACCGACCAATCAACTACTTCTAATTTCGGTTGGTGACCAGCGATTCGACTCTAGTCTTCACCTCACTTTATCTCGCAATTCTCCCACTTCAGCTGCTCTTCTAATCTGTTCTGTTCATTTTCGTCAACCCCAACGAAAACCGAAACATCTTCATCGTTGCCACTTTCGGTCCATCTTTTTGATTATCTTCAAACCATGAATCACAGATGGTCTCGTCACATCTTTGTAAATCATTCACATCACATTCACCTCC